GCATCCTTTGCAACCTTGCAGACACCTTATCGAGATCTTTGGAAAATATGTTAATTAATGGTTTGTGGTCAGTCTGAACAAGTACTTCAAACCCATAAACAAAATAATGTAATTTCTCAGAAGCGAAAACAATGGCACCCAGCTCTTTTTCTATCTGAGCCCATTTTTTTTCAGATACTGTCATAACTCGTGATGCAAAAACTATGGGATGGTTATTTTGTAACAGACAACAGCCGAATGCTTCACTTGAAGCATCACATTGTATAACAATAGGCAAAACCGGGTTAAAAATGTGTAAAACAGGGGCTTTGGATATAATTAACTTCAGAACAGCTAATTCAGTTTCACAACTAGGGGTCTAGTCAAATTCTGTATTGTTCTTAGTAAGTTCTCTTAAGGAAGTAGTTGACTGCGATAAATTGGGTATAAATTTAGAGAAAAATTTAAGCAGACCCAAAATTCTAAAGTTCATTTCACGAAACGAGATAGTGGAAGTAAACAAACTTTGACAGGCAAGTCAAATTTTATTGGCTAGAAAAAGATTATACTCCGCCCTAGGCAGGACCGTCTTACGTTGTTTTGTATTTCTCTTCTCTGAATATATTTCCGAACGAATTTTTCAGAGGAATCTGTTGAACTTGATATTGTTTTAATCTAAATTGCTCACTAATTAACAATAATTCACCAAATACTATTTAAATAATTGTAAAATACTAGGAAATACGATATTAAACTTATTGATTCATATGACAACCTGACAATAATAAATGTCATTAGTTGAAATTCATATTTTTGCAGTCCTTCTCTGAATTTTTTAACTCCGCCTGTTTGTTTACCTCTACTATCTCGTTTCGTGGAATGAACTTTAAGCACCTCAAACATTCTCGTACATTTTCAGGGTCTGGCTGAACACCATTTCTTGATATAATTTGCCCTAAAAAATTAACCTTTTGTAATTTATATTGAAACTTGCTTGGATTAAATTTGACATTATTTTCCAAGGCCCTATTTAGAACCTACCTTGAAGCAATATCATGGCTTTTTTCATCAGAGCCTGCAATGATTAAGTCGTCAAAGTAGACTTCGACTCCAGGAATGTCCCCAAATAGCTCAAAGTTCTTTCTTTGGAATAGTTCAGGAGCACTGCATATCCCAAATGGGACTCGGTTTAACCTATACCTACCAAGGGAATGTTACTCCCTCGCCGCTAACGCGGCTCAGTTCGTAAATATTCCTCGGGAATAATAGCTATCATTATTGACTCGTGGTATAATCTACTATGATTGTCCTAATGGTGTGAATTTGAAATTTCCATATAAAACTAAGGTAAATGAGCACTTTTCAAGTAATATTTCCATAACTGATTGCTGTACAATTTTTTTTTTAATATTGTAAGGCAAAATACTGCAATCAGCTCCAGAATCAAGCTTAAATTTTACCTCGACATTATTTTCCACTAGGATGTTCTCTGTCCACGAGGGTCTATATAACCATTCACAGAGATGTGTCTCTTCTTTTGTTGCCTGTGACACAAACTCGTCCTGGGAGATCAGTCTTATATTTTGAGTGTTAGGCCTATTTGCACTCACACTACTCGAATCTTGAACTACATTGTTAGGATCTACTGAAGCACGTACCTTAAAGCATGCATTGGCAAAATGCCCCATGACCTGACAAACAGCGCATATTTTACGGTATGCTGGACACCTATTTTCTGGATGCTCATATAAGCATCTTAAACATTTTATCTTTTTCAAATTATTTTTTCTATTGGTATTGGTACTAAGTCTCACTGCATTTACTTCCTCTTCTTCTTTGGTCAGTGTCTTTATATGTTCTCTGCTTTAAGTAATTGATTTACTGTAGTCCAATATTTTGTCCACTGTTAAGTCAGGTTCTCGTATCAGCCTTGCCTGTATTTGCTTGTCAATCAAGCCTACAACAAGCCTGTCACATACCATTCTTTCTGAGTATGATTCATTACAACCAGCTTTCTTGCAAACGAAATCACAATTTTTTACTTGATTCCTAAGCTCTGTCAAATAATTTTCATTGGTTTGGCCTTCTTTTTGCTGAAGGTTGTTAAATTTGGAAGCTTCCATCGGGTAGCATATTTTGGGTATAAAATGGCAATCATAAGCTTCTAAAAGTTTCTTAAGGGTGTCTGTCTGATCATCAGTGAATGTATTAAAAAGTTCTAAGCCATAGTCACCAATATCGCTTAGAAGAATGGCTATTTTGATATCTTCTGACTCGGTGTGTTTTCCAAAAGCTTTGAGAGAAATGTCAAACTTTTGATTGTAGAGCTTCCATCCCTTATAATCATATTCTGTCAAGGGGCCTGGTGGCTTTGCAAAATTCATTTTTACTAGATACCAAAGTCAAGCTTACTATTTCATATCTACTCTGGAACTTAGGGCAGGTTTCAAGGGTGCATCAAGGGCACTTCACTATTATTATCTCTACAACTGGGGCAGCTTCAATTTTCCTGTTGCTTACAATGCTTACAACAGGTCATCATACCTGATACCATGTTTTAGTGGATTCAGTGGGTACACAAATTAGTTAACTTTTAATTATTTATAAGTATTTATTTATGAAATTACATGTTCCCCTTTTTTCGTAACCTAGCAACCACCACTAGTCCTAACCTCACTTTCCCAGGCGGTTGCTCTTGTCCGCCTAGTGGGTGTGGTTCTATCAATGATATTACAATCCTAGATTGCAATAAGTTAACATAATATAACACCTACCATGGACCTCTTCATTTATACAATAACAGTAAACTAGTGACATCTTTACACATATGTGTAAAGTGTTTTCATTCAAGCTTAATGGCTGTCGTAAGTTGGAATTTCTTCCCGACGTTTCGTTATCAGGCGTGGCTGGCATCTTCAGACATGCTTCCATGTCCGATTCTGGTAGCAGACTGACGCGTTCCCGACCGTAAGTTGTATTTATGTGTGAGTGGCTGTGGTGGGGGAAGGGAGGGGCTTCACAGCACGTGGCTAATCTGATCTTTCTGTGTACTCAATGGGATCTTTCTTGCGTTTTTGAGGATCGGGTACCAGATTTGATTAAGTTTTAGTGTTTCTTCTTTCCTGTTGAAGTTCTCCGTATGTTTGTGGATTTCTATAGCTTCACGTACAAGACAATTGTGGTATCCGGAAGTCGGTGCAAGAAGCTTGACCTCACCGAATAGTATTTCGTGATTGCCTTCACTAAGCGCATGTTCCGCAGCTGCTGATTTTTCCGATTGTCCATGGCATACGATAGACCAGCGCTTGACAGTGGATTCCTCTTATCCTTGGCTGATCTGATTGATTGCTGTATTTTCTTTGTTTGCTTGAAGAATGTTTTTATGTTGTGTTTCTTCAAGACTTTCCCTATCCTGTCTGTCACCCGAGACATGAGAGGTAGATATGCATTAGCCACCACCGGTTGTTCATCTACATTTTGTCGTGTGGCAGTTTTGGGTCGCATGGCCCTATCGATTTCAGATGCCTCGTAACCATTTGATAGAAAGGCCGACTTCAGGTGATCCAGTTCTTGCTCGAGATGTTGTGGCTCGCAGATGTTCCGAGCACGTTCTGTTAAAGTTGTTATATTTCCACGTTTTTGCCTTGGATGGTGGTTTGAGAGTGCATGCAGGTATCTGTGTGTGTGTGTAGGTTTTCGGTATACCGAGTGGCTTAGTTTTCCTCCAGATTTCTTTATGAGCACATATGTGGATGAACAATCATTGGTGGCTGATGCATATCTACCTTTCAATTCTCGGGTGACAGACACGATAGGGACAGTCTTGAAGAAACACAACATAAAAAAATTCTTCAAGCGAACAAAGAAAATACAGCAATCAATCAGATTAGCCAAGGATAAGAGGAACCCACTGTCAAGCGCTGGAGTCTATCGTATACTATGCACATGTGGTAAGGCATACATAGGAACGACGAAAAGATCCATGGGAACCAGGATGAACGAGCACAAAAGAAACTGCAGACTAGGACAATCGGAAAAATCGGCTGTTGCGGAACATGCGTTTAGTGAAGGGAATCACGAAATACTCTTCGCTGTGGTCAAGCTTCTTGCACCGACTTCCGGATATCACAATCATCTTGTACGTGAAGCTATAGAAATCCACAAACATACGGAAAGCTTCAACAGCCAAGAATAAACACCAAATCTGGAGCCCGATCCTCAAAAACGCAAGAAAGATCCCATTAAGTACAGAGAAAGTTCAGATCAGCCACGTGCTGCACAGCCCTGCCCCTTCCCCACCACAGCCACTCACACATAAATACAACTTACACAGAATCGGACATGGAAGCACCTCTGAAGATGCTAGCCACGCGTGCTAGCGAAACGCCAGGAAGAAATTCCAACTTACGACGGCCATTAAGCCCGAATGAAAAAACTTTATCAATAAACCAGGGCCGCGAAAGCTTCACAAACTTCTTGTTGTGATGACGAGAACCAAAAGGGGCCAGGAAAGGTAAGCTGCTCGAGGAGGGTCATGGTGGGGATGCATCAGAGGTGTAAACAAGACTCGCCTTCTCCCCTAATAATATGAACTGGGACCAGGTATTTGGTAACCAAAATCTCGTCGCAGAACCCTGCTATCTATACTACTCCCACCTGTGTGAACCAAAGTGTACTTATTGATTTTTCCCTCGCTAAATTTGTTTTCTTTTATTCTAAAACTTAAATGCGAAAAAGAAAAATATTCAAATCAGTTCCCTCCAAATCTTATTCGACACTAAACTACGAGGGAAACAACGTTAAACATTAAAGAGATTCTCTCGACGCCGCTTTTTATTCCTTTTGCTTGTTTCGAGGCGTCGTAAGGACTCTCTTGCTTTTTGGTCTAACAATCAGTGTGATTGCGCCTTTAATATTTAACATTGTTAGAGAAATAGGACGGAAAGCACTACTTCGTGGCGATTTAAATAGTAATTTTTAGCTGGAAAAATAAAACAAAAAAAAATATATTTTATTTGCAGCTCAATGGCAGGCATCGTAGGGATTCTAGGCTGCAATTACTAAAATCAGGCCGTAACGATACTATTGCCTATTTATTCAGAAGAAGGAAGTTGAATAAACGCGTGCGCAGGCATAACTATGGCGAAGAGCTGGATTTGAAAATTTCTCTGGCACAGACGAAACACAAAATTAGGATAATTAAAATACAGCCATCTGTAAAGGTAAGTTTTAGTCTTATTAGCTCAATGATACTATTGATAATTTTCTTCTAGACACCAATGATTTATAATATAGTCAAAGGTAACGAACACAACAAATTCGAATTGATTAACAAACACGGGGTTTGGGCGTTACATTTCAAAAGGCGTCTTAAAAAACCTGGCCAATTTGATCTTCATATTCATGGAAAACCTATAGAAAACGAAAACGCGCCATCTGCAGATAGTAATCAATACGAAAAACCTCTTACTTTGAGGGTAAGAATAGTTGTTACTGACTAGGTTTGAAAAAAATGTTTTAGGTAATTTATTAATTATAAAAATTAACATTTTATTAAGATTTACTGCCATATTTTGGAAATCATTGTGTTCTCGGAATGGTTTTCGACAAGAACCTTTTTTTTTTAAATATTGCTTTCTTATCCTGACATTTTTCAGTAATATTTCCATATTCCTCTCTGAGTAAATTTATATTTCAAGCTTTTCTAATTTGTTTTATCTGTCGAAAATTATTACTAAACTTACTGCCATATTTTGCTTTACTCGTATCATTAAAATAAGATGTGTTCATTCTAGCTAAATTTATTAAATACAAATTTTAGTTAACCAATTATTTACATGATGTTGAAATTGGTGTTATAGTATTACCATTCATTTAGGAATTAAGTTAAGGAATTAATTATTAACGTTGTATATTGTTAGATGCGTTTTAATTTTTTTTTAATTATGTTGTACAAATTTTCTATTTTAAGTTACCTACCACACACAATCTTTATTTCATTTCGACTAAATTGTAAAGAGGCTTTGATCTAATAAATAAAAAAATAATAACTCCATTGTGTTTAATTTTATAAATTATTTGTTATACATTTCTTATAAGATGTTATTCTCGCTTCTTAGTTGACTTTTTTCTACCAGCAGAATTTTCTCCGGCTTCAGTTGATTTCTTGAATTTATTAAAGCTTTTTTCACTGACGTTTTCAATGGCTTTTGCTTTATTTCCTGGAAAAAAATATATATTATTATATCATGTTATTTTCAGATCTACCAAAGTAAAATGTTTGCGCCATATTTTTGACAATGATATTTTTCAAATTAAAATTAAATTTAATAATTGTCTCCCAGCCCGCACATTGGTCCTTCGAGCCAGATAGTCCAGTAGACTTCCCGTTAGTCTACAACGTCCGTCCATACAGCTAGTTCAGAAGACTCGTTAATTCACAACGTCCGTCCATACAGCCAGTCCAGAAGAAATATACCACTGTACGTCCGTGCAGAAAAATAGTCACCTAATCAATTCAGTCACCTTTCAAACACTGCCATGGCAGAAAAGGAGGAACTTGACTGTCTCGCACGAGAACAAGAAAAATCTGGATTGCAAATGGTTCAGCTGCTGAGTAACTGCAAAAAAGACTCAGTAGATAGGAAAACCGAGGCCTTTCATTTGACCAATCTGGATGCAATACTTCAAAAAATCCAGAAAAACGAGGCTGCGATGATAAAAATAAAAGGACACAGCGAACACCGATACTTCACCAAGCAATATGCCCAACACTTGTATACCAAATTGGAGGAACTGAAGACCTACTTACTAACATGCCTAAAGGCCATACCAACACCAACCCAATCTGAACCATCCGCCGTCAGCATCCAAGAGAAACGCATAAAAATGCAAAAGTTCAAGATACGGCAATTGGAAGACACCCTTACCCAAATTAAGCTGGAACACACGCCCCACGTTGGGCGCCAATTTAATACGGGTCTAAAGCGACATGGGGAAAGCTAAGGGAGAAAAGAATGGAGGGAGGGATATGACTCTTGAAGGTGGCCTAAAGAAGAAATCCGACTTATAGGGCAGCTCCGACAAGCCCACAAAATTCCGGTGAGTCTAAATAAAAGGCGCCACCTGTTTTTCAACCCTGCAGTAAGTCGGTTTCTAAACGAAAGAACTTGCAAAACAGGAAACAGCCTAGAGCATACAAAGAATCAAATCAACACCAAAGAAAGGAAGGTTTAAAGGCGATCATCTTTAATTGAAATCCCCTAGGATTGGTGAACTCGTGATCGCACCGCTGTCTGAAAAGAACTGAAAATTCTAAATGTCAAAAATCAGCTGTAAAGGAAAAATAAAAGAAAATCACTGAATATTGACTTACATGGTTTCGTTTATCTTGCTTGATTTGCTCCGTTCAGGATTTAACAATAATGTTTATCAGTTCAACAAAAGAAAGGTATTTTGGCATAATTATCCATACCTCAATATGTTCAGTATTAAAAATAACCTTAGATTTAAAATAAATTCAATACATAATCAAAAACGTTGCTTACCCTCGCAATAGGCCTATTTTCCCAGTATACAGTACCTTTCCTATTTTAGGTTAAGCCCAAAACTTATAATAAGAACATACAAGAATGAATAATAAGGTAATAACTCCTATAATTAAAAACGAAACACCAACGTTTTTAATAGTGCTTTAGGCCTCTCTCTTGCTATAAATTGTTCTGATTGTTAGAAACCCTTGGTATGATGAACAATACTTATGATGGTAATAATTACGGGGTGAGTATTTCTTTTGACCCCGGAGCTTCACTACCAATCAGCTGGAGTGTAACCAAATGATTTCAGGACCCAGGACAACACACACATGTGACCCAACTTACTTACAGGGGGTTCCTTGATTGTTTGCTGTATGCATATCTTACAGCGACCCAGGAATCTACCCGACGTGGAGTGAGGTTTGAGGGTCCTCCCCAAATCTTCATGGTGGTTAGGGATGTTCTAGCAACTAGGAGGGGGGGAAGGTAAGGCCCACTGGAGTGGTTCAGTAGGTACCTCTGGAGTGCTGGGGGTTGATGAGCAACCGGCACTCGGGTATCGGAGGAGAAACAAGGCCTTCAATAAGGGGAAGAATGAAAGTGAAGAGAGTCTAAAGGAAAAAGACCTAAAAAAAAAGAACAAGATTTTCGCAGATGGTAAGCAAACAGCAAATATAGTAAAGAAGTATTCTAAAAGAATTTTAGCGTTGTAGAACTTATCCAAAAGGAAAATAGCACAAAATGAAAACTTACCAAAATACTTTGGCCTTTTCCAGACACAGCACACAAAGAAAAACGGCTAAATTTGAGATTTTAACCCTTTAAAAATCGCACAGCCAAAACTGCCTATAGTGGCACTGTGGTGCTATAATCTCAACAACCAAGTATTTTTGATTCTTTCTCTTCCAGAAAACGTGGGCGTACCAATTCAAGCCTTGAGGAATTTTTACAGAATCTATTAGGGGACATTGGTACTGCTACTGACTGAATGCCTGGTACCCACCAAATAGCGGAAACTGTAATGGTACAAAGGAAGGTAGTGCGGAAATCTGTAATAGAACCATCGATACTATAAAGCGCAATTCAAAACCTGCACGAAGAAATCGCTGTCGTCACTCCAACTCAACAAATACTCGTGAGTCAACCACAACAGAACCTGCAGCTACCGAAATTACAAATTCCAATTTTTGATGGAGGGTATGAAAACTGGTCTACATTCTTCGAAATTCTCAGAATAATCATCCATAAAAACTCGGCGTGGACCAAAACCGACAAGATATACTACCTAAAAACAAATACCAGAGGAGATGCAAGCAAACTGATCCAAGCAATTGTAGCCAACTACGATTCAGCATGGGATCTACTTCAAAAGCGGTACGAAAACAAAAGGCTTCTAATATTTAATCTCCTAAACAAGCTACTAGACCTACCAGAAGTCTCAAGGGAGAACGCCGAGAAACTAAAGCAGCTGCATGTGGTCACCAGCAAGTGTCTACAAGCACTAAAAAATCTAGACTGGGGTCCCATCATAATCCGAATGACAATCAGAAAGTGGGACTACAAAACTAACCGCCTATATGAGCAAAGTCTTGAGAGGCCTCACGATGTTCCAGAGTTGACAGAATTCATGAAATTCTTGGAAAAAAGATTCCAGTCACTAGAAACTATTCCAAGATCAGAACGCAAGCCAAACCCTAAGGAAAAATACAATACCTCAAACTGTCTGTTCTGCCTAGACCAACACATGACGTACCACTCAAAGGAATCTCAGCACAGGAAAGAAATAGATATGTTCAAGAAAAGCACATCTGCTACAACTATCTCAGCCATGATATCACTGAGAGATGTTCTAGCTATACAAAATGTAGCAACTGGAGTCCTGAGCACCACACGCTTCTTTATATGGACAGACAGCAACAAAATTCTAACAGGCAGCCCAACTACCAAGACAGGCTGACAGTTACTCTACCACGAAATTCTCAACGACACCCACCATCAAGAAGAGCTGAACATTATCCATCAAGAGGCGCCATGTCTGTAGAAATGATGAAAACGTTTTACTCGCTACAGCACTAGTAGAAGTAAGAACATCAAGTCCTGAGGATTCTTATTGACCAAGGGTCACAGATATCCATTATTCCAGAAGAAGTTGCAAATCGACTGAGATCGCCACGACACAGCCTAAGAGCACAAGTCTCAGGAATTGGTGACGTTGAACCAAAAGTCTCTAAATGGTCCATTGGAGCACAGATCAAACCGCGATTTATGAGCGCATTCTCCATAGATGTCAATGTGATTGTCCTTCCAAAACTCACTCAATGCATGCCAAGGCGACACCTACACATAAACAGTATAGACAGTTGGAAGAATGAAGTGCTAGCTGATCCAACATTCATGTCACCAGGTGCAATAGATGGGAAATAAGGCGCCAAGGATAATGCCAGTATCATTTTGAACGGCATTCAAAAAACTAGACCTGTTGATTGTTGAAGCAAAATACAGAGTGAGTTTGGATCGTTTCCGGCCCAATAACATCCGGATCCCCCGCTAAACAAGTTGTCAGTATGACCACTCACTATGAAGAAGATAGACAGCTAACCAAGTTCTGGGAGAGTGAAGAAATAGCCCAAGCGCAACAGCTAACAGAAAATGAGCAAACATGCGAAGAGATTTAAGGGGGATTCACTCGATATTCCGAGGGCAGATTCGTAGTTAGAATCCCATTCAAACAGTCAGCAGATGCATTAGGTGACTTTAGACCAACAGCCGCCGCAAGATTCACGAATATCGTCATCAAGATCCCAGTTTACAAGAACAATATTTAGCATTCATGAAGAAATACCTAGAGTTAGGTCACATGAGGAAAGTCACTCGACATGAATTGAACCAAGGGAGATATTACATTCCCTATCAAGCAGTCATCAGAGAAGCTAGCACAACAACACGACTGAGGGTCGTTTCCAACGCATCATGCAAAAGCTCTACCATCATCAGCCTTAATGACATCATGCAGGTCGGCCCTAGACTGCAACAAAACATCGCCGACATACTTCTTTGTTGGAGAAAGCACAAGATTGTATTCTGCGCACATATAGAAAAAATGTACAGGCAGATCGGGATTCATCCAGACGATGAACAATTCCAGAGTTGCCCAAAACACTTCGCCCGCTTTGTGTGGTTCGAGAAAATATTCCCGCGGTTATTCGTTTGCCGCGACCAGTCAAATCAAGACGGTTTCGTTGCACTCCTACTTGGACCTGAACTTCCTGAATGAGCTGGCCAGCTGAGTGGAGTTTGGAACCAGAGCAAGGTAAGGTGAAAAAATATTCTTTTCAGTTTTGATATCTTTCAATTTCATTTTAAAATCTTTCATCGTTTACCATTTTCCATGGATTTTCCAGTTTTAATTTCCACATCAACCAATGTTCGAATACGAACTCACCCCTGTTACCTAAGGTACAACCTCAGCACCATATCTAGCCATCAAGACTATAGAAGCTTACAACCGAAGAATCGAACAAATTTCCAGCGGCAAGCCAGGCAACATTAAGAGACTTTTACATCGATGACATACTATCGAGAACACCCTAGAACTATAACAAGAACTACTGAAAATGCGTAGCTTTGCTGGATTCAATCTGAGAAAATAGTCCAGCAACTCACCGTTGTTACTTCAATCCCAGAACAATTTCGAGAACAAAAGGTACAAAAACTTCCTCAAGAAGACTTCAAGAAATCTCTGGGCGTACTGTACTATGGTCGCCAGCAGACGATACCTTCAAATTCCAAGTCAAAGTCGGAGATACGCGAATTCACAAAACGACAAATTCTGTCAGAAATATCCAAATTATTCGACCTCTTAGGACGGTTGTCTCCAATCGTAATACAAGCCAAACTTATAATTCAAGACTAATGGCTAAGAAACCTGAGCTAAGGCCTACGGTGTAGTGATCCAAAGTCGAATAACGGAAGAAGACATCCGAATTGTTACGCTCCTGCAAGCAAAATCAAAAGTCGCCCCAGCGAAGAACAGAACAACCTTACCTCGCTTGGAACTATGTGGAATAGTCCTGCAATCAAAATTGATACAAAAAACTAAGACTGCTCTTCAAGTGGTTGACACCCAGACCTTCGCTTGGACCGACCACTCTTGCTTGGATAAAGGGTGACTCTACGAGATGGAAAACCTTCGTTCTTGAAATACACAGAAATGCTCCTCAAGTATCCTGGAACCACTTCAGGTCCCAAGAAAACCCAGCCGATTGGACACAGACAAGTAGAATCAGCTGATCTGGTTTTTTGTTGAAGCTATTGCAACTATCATATTCAAAAGGATAGATATTCAAATATGTTAGTTTGTGATTCTTCAAAACGCCTTTTCATTTAAATTTTGCTTTGCAAGGTGTCACATTCAAAAAGAAAAATATCCTAGTGTTTCACTGGGTGATTCTTCAAGTCGAGTTTTCATTTAAATTTTGCTTTGCAAGTGTCACTTTCAAAAGGATAAATATCCAAATGTGTTAGTTTGTGATTCTTCAATTCGGCTTCTCGTTTCAATTTTGCTTTGCAAGTGTCACATTGAAAAGGAAAAATATCCAAGTGTATTAGTTGGTGATTCTTCAAGTCGAGTTTTCGTTTAAATTTTGCTTTGAAAGTGTTACATTCGAAAGAATAAATATCCGACTATCCGAGTGTATCAGTTTCTGACTTTTCAATTCGCCTGTTGTTTTCATAGTCTTGCTTCAGGCGTGTGAACCTGAGTATCTAAAATATTTGTGTTCAAAATTGGCCTTTTCTGATATTGCGAGTATTGTTCGTCGATTTTAATCTGATACTCGGACGGAATGTGATCTGGTGGCTCCCTACATTAGAACGCCAATGCTTACCTGACGTCACACCTGTTTTTGCCATATGAAACACCCCCTCGCTCCTCATACCGCAAGTATCAGTTAAAAATCGACGAACAATACCTTTAGCTATCGATAATACAGTAACTGTACTGCATAATATAATTTGTAATGATAATGAATTCAAGGAATTATAGTGCTTGTACACGTTTTTCGCGGAACGATCCCGTTCCCAAACGATGCTGAACTCTAAGGCATGACTAACGCAGGTAGAGTTTCATGTCTCTATTGATTAGTAAACCTGCATGCCTTAACGTTCAGGCTACGTTTGGGATCGTCTCCGCAAAAAAAGCTAAAAATTCATATAAACTTTTGGGCAGTCGGTCGATTTCACCGATAGCGTGTAATGACGTAAGTTTTTTAACGCATGTAATGACAGGTTAATGTCTACGCTTTTGTTATTTGTTGGATTTTTTCTGAGATTGGTATTTTAGTAGAATTTCTTGGCTCTTCACTCATGACCCTGCTTATTCTTTCCAGTAGTTATTTGTACTCTAGACAGTCAGACTTTGAACGAAATGAAGAGATCAGAGAAAGAACCAGAGTAGATGACAAAAAATTTAGAACTTTGAAATAGAGACGGGCAGGCCATGTTACACAAGAAGAGAGAAGAGGTGCACCTAGAATGGAGACTCTAGACTGCTAGGTGCACCTAGAATGGAGATGAATCTTGAATGAAATTATTTGGAAGATACTGCATCGAATGGCCCCAGAATCTAATTGTCATTAATATAGAGCAAACTTTATATCCAGAATTTTCCAGATATTATTCTTACCAGACGCGTTCTTCATAAACAGTTTGCTCATGTTAATAAATGGCGACTCAAACGCTAAGCACCATACTAGTGAGGCAACAAATGTGAACGGCATTTCGGATAAGTAGCCCTGAAACTAAAACCGGATAATCAGAATGCTTTAAAATTCACCCCAAATAGGTAATATATTTACTGTTCTAAAAGTATCATGATACGTTGGTGTTCTTTTAGAGCCTTGAAAAAAATAAATCACAGCTGAATGTGTGAGATAGACACTGTAGGAGACTTTTGTTATTGGTTTAAAGAAATTTCGTGACAGAATATAATTAATGTATCCTAAAAAAAAGGTAAATACAATTTCTTAAAATTTAAATAAACCTCAAACCTCCGTTTCCTGTAGAACACAAAATTATGAGCAAACAAATAGCCGCTCCCCAGGCTGGTCTTGCTGTAGAATTAAATAAACCTGAATAATATTCATTATAAGGATGATGTAGCAGGAAAATATGGATAACAATAACGCTCATAAATAAAGTAAATATTGAAGTCCACATTAAAACTGCGAGACCCTAAAACAAAAAGACTATTTAAAAAACTTTTTTTTTTTATGAATAGGAAACTTACCTTTGAAATTTTCAAATTCTGGTAATTATACAAAAATCCTCCAGTAAGAACACCAAGTATCCAAACAGGCATCCGTATGAATGTTGACTGGTATATACGCATATGATAAATATCATCGCCTCTGTAAGAACAAATATTTGAAGTAATTTCAAATTTCTAAGTCAATGTCTTACTCAGAAGGTGTCCATCTCTCTTTATGTGCCACAGTAGTATAATAGGCATGCAATGATAAAATAATTGTTAACATTGTATAGCCAAATGCAGATCTTTTTGGATATTTGTATAGAAAATACAATAGGAGCGGAGCTATGCAATATAATTGTGTATCGACTGATAAATACCAAGTAGGTTCAATGCACTACAAATATAATAGTTAATTTTAAAATCCACAAATAAGAATTTTTTTTACCTGAAAATGAAAATTAATAAAATTTGTGAAAAATAATGCACTAGCCCAACCAGTATATTTACAACTTTCAGACATTCTATATGTTAATAATGTCCATAGAGGCCCATCGTTTAAATATTTAAGTACGCTGATGTACAACAATATCATTGGAATTAAGGCAGGCCATAATCTAGTTAAGTGAAACTGTAAATTTCGGATATTTTTTCGGATAGCATAATTTTGCATGTATATGCAGCTATCCAGTGTTTATACATTACCTTAAAAATCTCATAAAATAAAATGCAAAATATGGAAATGATTGTTTTGATGATAGCATGTCTCTAATTTGCATGTATTTGTAAGCCAGCAATAGGCCACTGATACACAGAAATGTATCCACGGAAAATGGAGCTATCAAAATAAATAATGCTGGTAGTGTTTTTCGCCACTGAAAAATTGTATTAGTCACTAAATACTTCTATTCGATTGTTGAAATACCTCGAAATAGTCCAACATATTTACATTCCCAGAAAAAAAGGATAAGGCATATCTATGACCGAAAACTACCCAAAGCATGCTCAGTGCTTTCAAGCCTTGCAGACAAGTGAATTTTTGGTCATCATTTTTTGAGTGCATCTCAAATATCTTTTTAGTATTTTTGCGTATGGAAAATGCTAATAGGAAGCTTTCTAAGGTTCCATGTTCTGGAAAATGGATATATCAGTGCAAACTTGCGCGTGTTTTCGAAAAAAAATATGTACTACCTTCTTCATCATTTACAAACATCATTTCATAGATATTTGCAAAACATAGAAAGCTGAGAAAAATTCCAAAAAGCCAACTGAAATGAGAACATAAATTATAAAGTAGTGAAATGAAGTAGGTCAGTAAATTAGAAAGAAGATCGTAGAGGCTTCCAACTTTCTAAAAGTTATAGGTATCTTTTAGGCTATTTATTATTTCCAACCAAAGAAAAACATATTTGAAATTTTAGGGCTATTCGAAGTCCCACAGAGGCTGAGTGAGTAATACTTACAAAACAGTTTCATCAAAGCTGTAAGCGAATGGTACTTTTCCTTTGTAAGTACAAAAGTTATCGCCTGTCGATACGTGAATTGGAAGCCGGAAAGCGAATTCTGCATAATTCCAGAGTTTCTGGATACTTTCAGCACTGCAAGATTTCGGTATGCAAATGCCATAAATCATCTTGACTAAACGTATAATGTGTTGCATGTCTTTGCTTTCTGGAACATCCATCATTTCTGAAAGTGACTGTCGATTTCTTAGTTAATTCTGTGATTTTTTTGAAAATTAATAATTCATAGGTTCTTGAAAAGCTTTGATTACATTGGGAAATGTAATCAAAGCTAAAAAATCACAAAAAAATACATAAATGTTATTCGAGTGAAACTTTATAGACCGACATGACAGAAACTTTAGTAACTGTCTTGTTTATGTTTACTGTCTCGAGAAGAAAATTCCAAACTTTTCCGCCCTAGCGGATTACTTTTCAAACAAAAAAAAAACCTAAAAAATATTTATGAGAAAAATTATTTTCGTGTTTAATGAAATAGAAAAGAATACCATAAAAATGTATGAGAAAATTGGAAAAGTTTGAATACAGCTTTCTACTTACTGTTGCAAAATTCAAAACTTGAGCCAAACTACTCGTTGAATTTTTAGCTGGAGTTATCGCAACGGTACAATATTGGCCCTGGATAACGTCTCCACCTCGTATTTCTTCGATGCCGAGGCATTGATCGTAATTACCGAAATGAAAAATGTTGCCGGTGAGAAAGCCAGTTTGGAATTTGGCATTCGCATCCAACACTGAAAATATAAATCTTGAATAAAATGCTCTTCATTGTTTCTCAAATTGTGTAGTAAGGGTGTGTAGCATCCGCGCCAAGTACTCTATTATTTAGGTTAGGTTAGATGGTAAATTGCGAGCGGTCGTATTTGATGGTAATTATTTGCTTGGGCAGCTACTGTAAAATAAAATTGTGGGGGTGGGTCTATTTGCAATTGAAAGAAACAACTGATTTATGGTTACTTATCCGTTAATAGTTATACTTTATTAATGAGAAAATTAACAGATTTTCATTTCCAATTACAAATTTTCTAAACCCTATTCCAACACCTTTCTAAACAGAAATAAACAATTCTAAATTGATGCAATCATACAGCCACCTCTACACTGTCTCTGAGCTTGTAAATCAAACATATGCAGTCAAAATCCTCGTACTTTAATAACACTTTCATATAGCGCTTGTATATGCAATAATGTTCCATAGTCAATTTACTTACTTCATAGTTATTTTATTCATTGATAAAGTCAAATAAACATGTCACTACAGTACTTAATTTAGATATCGCCCTTAAGTCACTTAATTATTCTATTTTCTTTTGATTATTTAGAGCTAGTACATAATGTTGAACGAATTTAAATGTTCTTTCTTTCACAATTTTCCGTTATTTTTTCAAAGTTCGAGATAACGCGTTTTCCCGAGGCGAAAAAATAAAAAAAAAACTTTTCGTGAATTTTATCCGGACTGACTCGTACTGATGACTGAAGCCTCAAGAATCTAACCTGAAGTGATGCCTAAACTGAAGACTGAACTCAACTGAACTGATGTGAAGACCGATTCTAAACTTCTAAACAGCTTTTTTTATATTTTTCGATCCCCCCTAAAATTCCTATGTCCATTCATTAACATTCCTCTTTTATTTGTTTAAAACCCAATATGTCGCAATTTCCTGGATTATTGGGGTCAATAGATTTCGTATAAATTGTTGTCAAATCAAAGGATGCCGAAACTCGTGTCGGCCATGAATCACCAATTTAATTACTTTAGCCTCGCTTTTGATATTTTTATGGATGTGGGTGCAAGAACCTGGTGCTGTCGTAGCAATGGCTGCCTGGCTCGTCATTATCTATTATTTCAATTTGAGGACACGCGCTTGATGACTAACGAATAAAATTCTGGACGTATTTTAGATATTTAATTATTTTGGGTCAATGCTGATTTATCTCATCATTTTCCAGTTTCATTGATACTGATTTGAAATATTGGAGAATCAATTTTTGATTATTAGACTACATTTAACTTTTACTGTTAAGACATTGTAAATTACGGATATATTTTTCCCAGGTCATTACAGGTGACCCAAGTTTAAAGTTCAATAACCAATAACAATTTCAATCAATTATTGTAAATTGCAACTTCAGGAGTCCTTTAAAATAAATTTATTTATGATATGAAAACACTGAGAAGCAGGTACAAGGAAAGATGAAAGAGCTTACAGGGACGATGATCAACAGCGGGATGGAAGTGATTGAGATAATCCGTACCCAGATCCAAGAAAAAAAGGAGGCATAAAAGAGGTAGCAAAGAACTCCAGCGATGAGAAGACGTCGACAAAGACAGTCTGTTTCTCCTAAAAAAAGACGAACTCAAAGTTTGTGTTCAGTGAAACAGTTCATAGTCACTTGAAGACCTAGGGAAAATATGCTTAGAAGACTCCAGATCCTTCATCAGGTAGTTGAACAAGAAGCTGCCAGAAAAAAAAGGAATTCATGCGATAATCTCGCAGTCCTCGCAGTTGAAATATCATGTTAACTGATCGAAAATGAACTGAAGGATTATAAAATCTAACATGCTAAAGTTGGTCAGCTGACCGTCTGGAACCTCAAACGTCTGATGTTACTGGTGTTATGTATGTTCGTTATTAGAAGTGGCAACACCGTCAGCCTTCGACAGCTCAGTGTATGAGAACATGTCGGGCGGTTTTGTCATGTCCTATGATGCTCTGTGTTAAGCTCTAAGGTTAATACACTGTTGTTGTGTTTATGTAATAATAAACCATTCACTAAACCACTGTGAATCCTTTGGGACCATTATAGCAAGAAACATTACGTGGTGACAGCGGTAAAAGCGCGCAGTGGTTTTGTTTTGTGACGTCACTAACGTGTAGTCAGCTGGTGTAGCTTAGTTTGTAAAATGCTAGTAGAAAAAGTGAAAAAGAAGACAATGTCAAGATTGCAATTCTTTCAAATCTACTAGGAGTGAAGGTCTCAAAGTATTTAATACTTTTGAGTATGAGGCACACGAAGATGAACAGAAGCTTACCACAGTTATTGAGAAGTTTGACAAGTATTGCAGCCATGCAAAAAATCTTGTATATGAACACTTCAAGTTTTTCAAAAGTTCCCTGACGAAACCGTTGACCAGTTTGTGACAGCTTTGGAGAAACTTGCGGCTTCTTGTGAATTTGCTGAGAAGGACGTCTTGACTCGCGACCGTATTGTGTTAGGAGTTACAGACTCTCGCATACAACAAAAGCTACTGCAATATCCAGACCTGAAGTTGAGTGATGCCTTAAATATTTGTAGGTCTATGAAGACTAGTGTTATCACACAAAAATAAATCAGCAAAGAGTCAGTGTCAGTAAATGCTATAGGGAAAAAGTTTAAACAGTACTCAGGTAAGTACAATCAAGGCGCTAACACGACCTCTGCTGGAAAATATTTGCTTCCTCAGCTTTTTTGCAACTTCCCTTAAGCTATGAAAGCTGCTTGTTGGGCACTGGGAAGATACAGATACTTGCGCCTTCCCTATGGAGTATCCTGCGCACCAGAAATGTTTCAGAAGTTCATCTTTGGGTTGTTGGAGGGTCTTGAGGGGGTGGTATCATATTTTGATGACATTTTTGTATTCGGAAAAACTGTTGAAGAACATAATCGTAATCTTTATGCTGTTCTGGATAAAATTAAAAGTGGCGATAATTTGCTGCAGCTTGTAAAATTGTATGATAATGTATTTACAGGTAAGTATAGGCAAAGTAAACAAACAATTATTTAGAATAACACTAATGGACAATGCTTCACCTAGTGTGTGTGCACCCCGGAAAATTCCTCTTGCCGAAGGAAAAAGCTAAATGCAAGCTTGAGGAAATGGTGAAGGAACAATTAATTGTACCAGTGACAGAACCATCTGATTGGGTTCATTCAATTGTCGTGATTCAAAGGCCTGAAAGTAACGATATAAGCATATGTATGAACCCCCGTGCTCTTAACAAATTCATTAAACGAGAAATTTTTGAAATCCCTACACAGGATCTATTGTTTTAACAGTTGAGTGGCGCAAAATATTTCAGCCTATTGGATGCTTCCTCAGCTTTTTTGCAACTTCCCTTAAGCTATGAAATCTCCTTGTTGTGCACTAATACAACTTGTTTTGAAAGATACAGATATTTGCGCCTTCCCTATGGAGTATCCTGCGCACCAGAAATGTTTCAGAAGTTCATCTTTGGGTTGTTGGAGGGTCTTGAGGGGGTGTTTTCATATTTTGATGACATTTTTGTATTCGCAAAAACTGTTGAAGAACATAATCGTAATCTTTATGCTGTTCTGGATAAAATTAAAAATGAAAACGACACCGCCAACCTTCGACAGCTTAGTGTATGAGAACATATCGGGCGGTTTTGTCATGTCCTATGATACTCTGTGTTAATACACTGTTGTTGTGCTTATGTAATAATAAACCATTTACTAAATCACTGTGAATCCTTTGTTAGTTACCTTGGGACCATTACAGCAAGAAACATTACAACTGGAGTCAAAATTCAACAAAGATTCCTTCTATAGAGACGTATCAATAAGAAAGTTACTTCGGCTTACTCATCTCATTAAGATCTGAATCAAGAAAACAATGATGAGAAACTAAGTCACTCTTGCAGGCAATCTAGATTGTATGCCACTCTGGCTCAAACACAGTATCTCACCATTACCAACTTCAAAGAATCATAGAGAGCTATCATATCCAGCATCGTTAACAGAATAAGAGGAATTGATTCAAGATGAAAAATTTGAATTCAAAGCAGGATTTGATTGGAAGAATTCAATCCGAAAGCTGAAATTCCCTCCCAAAAACCAGCAGCGATAAATTCCGTCGCCATCAGCACACACTTGTGTCGTTTACGTATGTTTGTATAATTGGAACGGTAACTGTTTAACCACGTTAAGCCCGCGGATTGCCAAGCACCAAAGCCCATGTAGGCGTAAAATATAATCCATGTAAATCGCTATTAGCCATTTCGCCAATAATATAGTGTTTGGGGCCGAATATATTCCCCGCTTCATCCCCCTCTGGTCCTGTATTTTCGGCCCCTGCAACTTTTGGGGGGACGGACATGAATTATGTGCCCGCTTTTCGTAATCGGCTTTAATAATTCCCGGCGCATTAGTTTTACGTTAAAACTTCAAAAGCATATTATATAGTTGCATAGTTTGTATCGACTTTATGATTTATTCTATGTGTGGGGATTAGGAAAGTTTGATGAAAGAGATTTTTTTTTTTCGTAAAGCTTGAACAACGTCAAACTAAACTTAAATTTACAATTTGTGGGAGAAAGGCTGTTGAATAATAAATCACGTTAAACTTCAAGCTTATTGAAAAACAAACCAATTTTTTATAAGACCTGAAAAGAAAATACCCGTCAAATCCAAATATTACTTTCTTATCCTTATACAAAAACTTTCTTTGTGTAATTTTATTATTTTTTCCTGAAGCTATATAAGAATGAGTTTGCCTTCTTTTTTATTGCTTTCTCTAACGAAATATCGCAGGAAATTATGGCACTTTTTTTTTGCTTCTCATTTCTTTGATCAAATCGGTCAAGAGGTCAGTTGGTCATACACAAAATGAAGAATGACTAAGGAGCAATTGTCAGCAAAAGATATTGGGTTACAATTACAAAAACTGTAGAGAACTATTAACGAAATCTCTACCACGTCTCAGTGACATACGAAGGTGGATTTAGAAAAAAAAATCCTGAACGTAGATAAGGAAGAATTAGAACTCATTGATAAAAGTGAACTACTCGAGGTAACACTGGAGCGACTCAACGCCTATAAGAGAACATCAGGTCATGTGCAATGGATTCGAAGTAGTCAAATTTTTTGGTCAACTGGATTGTCCACAGAGATTGTCAATCAATCAATCAAAATAATTTTAAAATGTTAGAGTTTTCTGCGAAATAAAGTAGTCATATCAAACGAAACTTGTGTTAACAGTGATTTGTTATATTGGCGCCCAACGTGGGGCCAGAAAAGTGTCATAAACTGGTGAAGTAACTCTGGAAAATTCCTACAAACTTTGCAAGTTTTGTTTTGTTTTTGTATGTAAGTATCTTGCTCGTCTATTTCATGAATAGTGCTGTTTTTCCTATTCATTGATATCTGAACTTCAATACTTTTATGAATAGTGCGATTATTCCTATTTATTGAACTTTAATCTCTAAAAACTTTCACAAGAATTTTCATAAATAGTGCGGTTATTCCTATATTTATTGAACTTTGATTATTATTAATCAACACTGTGCTCACCTCAGCTCAATCCAATGTACCCGCTACTCAGTCAGAACCAGTGCTCGGTTTCAGAAAACAAGGCAATTTCATTAAATGCACAAGCCGCTTCGATGCTTCCCCTTCAACTTCTGTTGAAGCCTTCATCGATGCAGTGGAAACTAATAAAGGCTACGATTATGTTTCAGATGAAAATGCACTCAAAGGATTGCCCATGTGATTAATTGGTTTAGCTGCTACTTGGTCTCAAGGCATGAAACATACAATCACATGTTGGGATGAAGCCGTTCAGTTGCTTAGAGATGTTTTTGGCAGAAAGGAGCCAGCCTATAAGTTATTTCAACAGTTGTTCTCACAAGCACAAAATGGACTTAAGACAGAACTGTTCATTTGCAATGACAGAGCTATTTTGTCCAAGTTGTCTTATACACTAGATGAAATAGTCTGCCTAAACCTGGTATACGGCTTATTAGAATACGCGCATAAGAGATAAAATTCCTAGAGATGACATAAAAACGTTCATAGACCTACTGGTGCGAAGCCGATCCATTGAAATTATGTTTGAAGAAATTCGAACCACAAATATGAATTCAAGGCAAAATACACAAAGGTCAAGTGACAATAAAAATCGTGTAAGACCAAAATGTGCTTATTGTCAACGTTTAGCACACCAGGTTGAAGAATGCAGAACCAAACAAAGAGATGAACTTCCTAGGGAGAAAAACGAAGAAAGAGGCCAAGATAAGAGAGAAAAAGTTATTCCTACATGCTATAGTTGTGAAACACCAGGAGTTATGAGGACAAATTGCCAAAATGTAAAAAACATAACCAAGGAAGTACTTCAGATAATCAAAGCCAGCAAAAACCAGCCACACTATTTGGAATCGATGTCTCAAGTGATTCTTCCAAGCCGTCAAGACCTGTTCTTCCAATACCGATTTTGGTGAAAGTGGGCTTGCCTGCATAGGCCCTCCTGTGTCTGCATAGACACAGGAGCCTCAAGGACCATTGCAGGAAAATGACTTTTCGAGATTAATAAAACCCATGTTGGGAAATCATCAGAAATAAAATATGAAACAGTTACAATTACATTAGCAGATGGAAGCATATCCACTCGGAAGGTACCTTATTTTTTCTACAGATGTGAACATGGTCATCTATGTCACATCATCATATAGTATTGACAAACTTCCTGGCTCTGCCTAATGCTGAATTCACCCTACTTGGAGCCGACTTTATAAGAAATTCTGAGATTGTGCTGGACCTATCAAACCGATCTTGGCAATTTGGAGCAAATTCCCAAAATAAATATACTTTTCCGGAGATTGTTGATGTTACATTCAGTGAAACAACTTCACCGGCGATTAATGACTTTAGTTCTCTGAGCACTAATGAAGGAACTATGTTAACGTTGGAGGAGCGGAATCAACTGAAGGAGATGCTACGAGCAAATTCACAAGTCTTTAAATCCAGTGGTCAGGCCACGAAATTTGCCACATTGCACATTAAAACCCAGCCTAATGCTATTCCAATTTCTTTACCACCCTATCAACTTAACAAATATTAAAGGTAGAAATTGATTAAATGCTTTCTAACGACATAATTGAAGAATGTGAGAACCCATGGGCTGCTCCTGTTGTCATGGTGCCAAAACCCAATGGTTAAATCAGTGTGTGTATCGACTACCAAAAGCTCAATAGCATTACAATTAGCGACAAGTATCCAATGCCCCGAATAGATGACCTTTTACAAGGAACAAAACAGTCGGAATACATGTCCACAATAGACTTACAGTCCGGATTTTGGCAAATATCAGTAGAGGAAAAGGATCGAGATAAAACGGCATTTGCCACACCCTTTGGTCTATTCAGGTTTAAAAGGATGCCATTCGGTCTTGAAAATGCTCCAGCTGTTTTCCAGAGGCTAATAGATAAATTTAAGAGTGGTCTTGATGTTATGGTACTTGCATATTTGGATGATCTGCTCATCAGAAACATTCCAGGAACACTTACACGACTTGCAAAAAGTATTTGACCGACTTCAAAAATTCAGCCTACGAGCTAAGAGAGAGAAATGTACCTTTGCCACTACAAACATTAAATATCTTGGTCATGTATTGACTTCTGAAGGTATTGTTGCAAATCCCGAGAAGATTTCAGTAATTTCTGATCTGCCAAGTGCAAGAAACATTGAAGAACTTCGCACCTTTATTCAAACTTGTTCCTGGTATCGCAAATTCGTATCAAGGTAATATGGAGATATAATAAATATGGGTTTGTTACATAGGTATGATTTTTTGAATGATAAGTAATAGACTAAGTAACTTACTTCGCATAGCCCATAATTTCTTAAAATTAAACACATCTGTAACCCAAGCCTTCAAATGCCGTGAACAATCATCTTTCGGCCCTGCAGAATCGATAATTTCGATCGCCTTCCGTTTAAAGAAATTCAAATATATAGTTGGGGAAAACGTTTCAACTTTAAGTACACAAATAATAGTAAAAAGAAAAAAAATACTTGGGAACTTCATCGCAAAGTAAGTAACATTCAGAAACACGCAATAGGCTCGTTATAAATTTTTTTTTGCTTATCACAAAAAAGGCAATTATTAGTTTTCTAATTGCTATAGGCAAGCGATATAATTTTTTTTGCGAAATTATATTGTCATAATTATTCTAAAAATAGGTTAAGTGCAATGGTGGCTCATTTTCAATCATCCAGTTATTACCGATTCCAAATGGAAGTCGGGTTTTTATTGAAAATTTTTATATCAGTTCTAAACGTCTTACAAAACAAGCAATATCCAGCAAAATTTTTATTGGTCCAAATTAACGCTTACACTATAAATTGGCCTCGCTTTTGCCAATTTTATTATTGTCGAAGTCGTTATCTAAAGCTGCCTGTTCCAACTCGCCGTTAAAATAACGTAATTAATTTCGTTTACGATCGATCGTTAAATAGGGATGCGATTTGAGAACCGACACCGATTTGATGGATTTCTTTGAAACGGAAAACATTGTAATCTTTTTACCTGAATTATTGATTAAAATATATTTAAATTTCCTAAACTTAAAAGCCTTTTTTCATTACATTCTCAAAGAAAGCCTCCTTCATTTAGTTTTCCACCAGACATATTTCTATCATTCGCAGCCTACGAGATATTGAAAAAAACTCGTTCCATAAAAGAAATTACCTTTATTTAAGCTCGAGCTCTTTCATTTCTTCTACCCTTGTTCGGGCAAAGTCATTTTTATCGGCGCTTACATTCTATACAAAGAGTTTTCAGAGAGGTTTCAAAAGTAGACCTGGATACAAACGAAAACCTTATACCTATTCGGAGAAAATAATTTGAAAAGGGAAAAGTGAACAGTATAATCATCATTATCAATTTGAATCTTGAAGCAGGTAAAACGCTTACGGTTTGATACAAATTCAAAAGCAAAGTGAGTTTAATTTGAAGTATTTAACAATCATAATCTATAGAGTTTAGATATACAACATGGAACCTCGGATACGCATTTTGTAAATGTCACAGAAATCACAAACCAGTCAAGAGCGTTTTTGATTGGTGCAAATTGCCAAAAACCAGTTTTCTGACTGTTTTTAACTAATTAATTATTAGAAATAATCACGTTGCGCATGAACCATGCATTTCCATCCTTATGGCACCTCCTAGTACAGTCATACAAGGATTTATCTACTGAAAAAATCCGAGTAAGCCTAAATTTTGTCTACACCTTTATTTTACCTCAAGAAATAATGAATTAAAAGTCCCCACCGATATCTTGTTTGCGTTTCAAGATATTCAAGGTCAAATATCACAGAAATGAGTTTTTCTTAAATATTTTGCTTTTGGTATATCTTACGACTCTTTTGGTTAAAAATATTGGGAAATTCTCTTCAAAAAATGTTATTTACATATTTTATGACATACCAACTGATTTCCACATGATACGCCAGGGAAACAGAGGGTAGCACCAGTTTCCACACCACCACAGAGGTAAGATGCAAGGCGCGTTTTTTTTTACATTGTATTTTTACTGTAGGCCTAATCCATGATCTTTCTTGTTGTGACTTTTAGATGTAGAATGTGCGATCTTCATTCTCGTAATCTGTCCCCTCTTCCACGACGTACAAATGTTACCATTCAACACAGCATCGGCCCATAATGTATTTGGTGTTAACATTTGTACCGTTCAGTCCTGGCTCCGAAACAACGTACCCCGTACCGGAAAGAGTTGGGTAGTGGGTAGACCTGTGATCAGGACAAGTTTCGGCTGTACAGACAAGTCCAGCAGGATAACCGCAATCCTTATGTCCTAGTTGAACGTACGGACATAGATCAGTTATACTTTCTACCCAGCTGAGATACGCGATTCCGAATTTGTCGCTAGAAGTTTTCGGGGACTGGTGCTGAACCTACGGCTTATTTCTGCTTAGCAGCTTTATACCGTAACCGTACAACCGCCGGCTTTACCCGTGGCCATATATTTACCGCTTTCCGCTTTTGCGCTAATATCTGTACTGTAATACCTTGACCACACACAAACCTCTCACTCTCGCACTCTCTCTTCACTCGTACACTATTGCTCTATGAGGAGCTATTATGAATTAAGGAAAATTTGGTTAAGGTTTTATCAAACAGATCTGAGTTTTCATTTTCTTTTCCTCTGTTATTACACAATGAGTAATGGATAAATTATTCTTCAATAGTTTTTTTATTCCTTTATCTGCGCATTGACCCCTGGTTTTTCTTTCTCCACTGTAATAAGCTACCTGGTGCTAGTGGGCTCTCAATCACTATAATCTTGAGGGTGGCGCCCGAGATTACTGCTGGATTAACAAAAAGATAAATACCGACTGTTCGGGGGAAGAAGAAGACGCGACAGACCAAGAAGAAGCTGGAGAAGTGGTGTAGACGAGGAAATGAAGGACAGAGGCCTAGAAGAGGATGCCTGGATTGACAGAGATGGTTGGAGATCGGGAATCGGAAGACGTAGAACGTTATAAACCGATAATTATATATATATATATATATATATATAATTTGGAGAGGATATCGGGTAACGGTCTGGACTAGTGAAACTCATTTGTTTTTATACTCAATATTTCGTCTTATATTTTAGACTTCATCAGGAGAAACTACAAGAAAAATAATAATCACTAGTCCAGACCGCTACCCGATATCCTCTCCAAATTATTTAATTAGTACGGTCGATAACTGATTTTCATTTATATATATATATATATATATATATATATATATATATATATATATATATATATATATATATATATCATGGTATATTTTTCCATGGATTCTTAAGAAGCAACGGCACTGCTTGGTGTTACTATTTTAATAAGCCCCATAATGTGAAGTGTGTTGTGGCCGTCTATTGTGTAGACACTGATATCTGCATCAGCTAATTACTGAATAAGAGCACCAGTTTCAAATAATAGAGTTTTTGGTTGTGGATGGTAGATAGCAGCAACTTCATACATTATTGTTTCTCTCTACGACGCGCTGAATGCAAGAGTTGACAGAATATCTAAAAAAGGTTTGATGTGAAGGATCGTGTACGTTTCGTAGCCATAATAGCATGACAAATAGCGGTATACTTATACTCAACATGGTCTGTTTTGCCTTTTCTGTTTTTCAGAAATAATTCTTCAATAAAGTATGAAAGGCTATGTGAGATGTTTTCGTTAAAATTATGAAACATTCTACTGGGAGGAGATAAGATTGACAATCAACAGTCATGAAGCGAATGTCTTCACTCTCTAATAATTTTGGTCGTCACAGTTTATACAATTCGAAGGTGTTCTTTTGCCGGTTGAGATTTCCTATTTTCATACCAAGCTTTACTTAAAATATCACTTTGAGTATCGCGGAAAGAAATCATGGTCGAAAAGGAATGAACTTTTATCAGCTACAACAACCGAAAAGCGTGGAAATTGAAAATGAAAAGAAAGCTAAGGAAAATTGGAGGATTGAAAATTTTGGTCCTGGACGGGATTCGAACCCGCGTCCTCAGCATTGCCGGCGCTTATACGCTGTAACCAACCATGACCCTACAGATCTTTTTGATTGGTGGTGTTAAAGGAAGCTGCGTGGTTCTCCGCTCATTGCAAAACCTCTAATTATACATTGATATTTCTTAGTTTTTTTTGTCTCTCTTTCCTCGTTGGCTTCTTCACCACAAAAAAAAAACAAAAAGTTTTTAAATCAAAAGATCCCAAGCTAGAGCGTGTTATGCCAAGAAAATACTGAGATGTACCGGCAGCATCGTCATCTCGTCGTCTTTTAGATGACACTATGCTACTCCCCTAGGACGCCAACCTCCAATTCAAGGATTGATGCGGGTTTCCCTCACGACGAACACGGTTTTCCGAAAACCTTATTTTGCGCCCGGAGGATTTAATCGTTGGCTCTCTCTTTTCTCCCTTCGTGCTCGTAAGCAGCTCGCACCAACAATACTAGGGGGACTCGTGCACTGGCCGCCTTAGGCGATCCCGATAGTGAGGGGACCCACGCAAAGTATTGTCAGCCTAATACGCGATCCAAGTGCAGGGTAAGCAAGTCACCACACTTCTGTCGAGAAAAATGAGGGGACTTTTAGATGCTACTATGTATACTTTTTGCTACAGTTTTTATGTACTGTTACCGAATCTGTATCCCTTAAACGTTCTGCATGTTCATCTTCTCTTTCCGAACTTGCGTCTCTCAAACCATCTATACCGCGTTTTACAGTCACTGTAACACCTTTCGAGAGCAATTGACTGCAAATAAAACAAGACTCATCCATCGCAATGGGTAATTTAATCACAAAACGAAACGTCTTGACTTCTTGCCAACTAGATTTGAACTGACTTACATCGATTGAATGCGATTACCCAGTCGATCATATTTGACAGATAACCAATGAAGCAAATGTCATTTGGCAACCACTCGTTATTAAATGACGTTCATGACTTTTGACCTTGAATATCTAAAAACGCAAGGGCGATATTGATGGGGACTTTTAAGACATTATTTCTTGAGGTAAAATAAAGGTGTAGACATAATTTAGGCTCACTCGGATTTTTTCAGCAGATGCTGCTTTTTCCGGCCTAATATAATTGGAGTATCCAGGGTGCGCAAGGAAGTGTGTGCGCAAAACGAGTCTCTCTCTTCGAATTTGGTACGAAATAAAACAACAATATAATTAATGGCGATATTACTCCAAAAATTATAAAACCCAATTGTGCAACCTTCAATCGTGACGTATGCCATTGCAGAACAAGACCTGGGATCCCAGAAAAAAGAACGATTTTCTCCGGCAGAGAGTCAAACGAGGTAGGTGTCCCTATATGACGAATTTGTTTAACAGCTTTTGGTACAGCCTCTATTTTTGCAGCTCCAGGTCGTACCCCATGTTGGTCTATTTCAGATCCTAAATAAATTATGGTTGAACAAAGAAAAACGCATTTGTTGATGTTGAGCGTGTTTGGAATATTGCTTTGATGCTACATAAATTTGCTTCGGGACTTTTGCTTGGTAAAATTACGTCGTCAAGATAAACTGCAGCTATGTCGCGATATGGCCCTAATATTTGATTCATCATGCGCTGGAAGAATGCTGGTGCGTTACTGAGTCCAAATGGCATTCGGTTGTACTCGTATTGTCCTCCAGGTGTTACAAAAGATGTAAGGTATTTACTATGTTCGGCTATTGGAATCTGGTGGTATCTTGAGCTTGAGTTTAAACTGGTGAATACTGAACATCCGCTTAATTTATCTATCTGGTCATCAATAGGAGGCAGTGGATGTCTGTCTTTGATTGTTTTGAGGTTAAGTTTTCTGTAATCCAAACACATTCTGTCATTGGCATCTTTCTTCTTAACTAAGAGCACAGTAGAAGCATAACAAGAATTATATTGGCGCACTATTCCGGCTCCTAGTAACTCAGAAATAATTGTCCTCACTTTTTCTTTTTTCGTTTCTGCCATTCTCAGCTAATTTAGCTTGCCCAAAATGTTCAGATACAGTGCCGAATAGATCTCTAAATTCCTGTAATATATCCATTAGTTTCTTCCGAAGTTGCCGGTCACTCGTACCAATTTTCATATCTTTTTCTTAATTTCAAGTCGCAGTATACGTCCAGCTTGGTCTCTAGCTTCCATTTTGCCGAAGAATGCTCTAGCTATAGGATCTTTATTGTTTAGAGTGAGATCCTTGCCCGATAAATTTATTATTGGTATTACTGGTACGTTTTCTGGAGATAAGTGAATAAGGATCCGAGGAATTGCATATTCCCTCCCCAGTTGGCATCTGAAACAGGCTTCAATGTAAAAATCTTCCTGAACTGATGATTTGCTAATAACATAAAGATTTCCAATATGATTTGGTGGAATAATCGTTGCTTCTTCTAACCATAACGTAATTTTATTTAGTATATCATAGTCTGGTTGTTGAAGTTCACTGAATCTTTGACTTTTACTATCTTTTGATACAAGTAACCATGGTTGCTCAGTAAATGCTTGTCCTATTATTATTGGAACCTCTTGTAGATTATCAGGAACCACAAGGCAATCTACAGTTCTTTGGACACCATTAACTTCCAATGTGACTGTTACTTCTCCTAAGACCTGTATGTAGTTCATTCCATAATATCGCTAGTCTGAAAGAGCCCTAATTCAAATACCTCATTCACGATTGTCAAGTGACATTCTGACGTACTCAGGTGTTATATAGATAAAGAAGATTTTTTTTGTGAGTCAGTGAAACAACAACAGATTTAAATGGAGACGCAGTTGTTATCAGACATTGACGAAAAGTCCAAGGAAGTTGTATCAGGTTATACACTTTTCTATGTTACTAAAAAAACACTAATAACAAACCCATGTTTTGCAGAAATAGCCAAAAAAGATAAAAAAACAACTACAAATAAAGAAAAAGCTGTCGATTTCTGTGTACCTAAATTATCACCGCGAGACAGTATCCATCCCAGTTATTCAAATTTGCAATTACCATAGTAAGTTGCTAAATATCAATAGATGATAATAATCATAATTATTACCTATTCTAGTCGTATTGTTTGTCGTCACAGATTGCACGCCAGTAAAAATCATATGAAAAAAGAAATTCATAGGGAATTAAGACATATTGAATTGGACCAAAGCAAAGCTTTGGATGGTGTCCGAATTCACAGGATTTTCTCAGACAATGAAATTCAAGTGAACAAGGAGGAAATTTTAGAACTTACGAGTAAACAAAAGAGACGTTTAGAGGAACTTTTGGCTGCACCTTAACGGTTTTCTTGAAACCTATCCTAATATTATTTAAGTTTGTCTATTTTTTATATATTTTTTTAATTATTATACAAATATATTAGATATTATTTTTTTATTTTTTCTTCTATGATAAAAAAATTATATTTGGACTTTTCTTTAATTTATTTGAAAAGAAAAACGATATTTTTTAAAGGGAGCGTCGTTATAAATATTTTTTTTATAACTTGAATCTTTCTTTTATCCTCTATTTCAAACCAAAATCTTTTTGTTTCGTTTTTTACCGTAATTAAATACAGACCGCTCCGTTTCGTTAAAGATTTATATATTTTGTCGGATAAATGGCTTAAAAATTTAGGAGCCTTTAAAACACCTTTTTTTTTCCTTCGCGTTATCTCACCAAACGAAAAGATAATTTTTCTTTTTGTTCGCGTTTTTATTCGCGCATTTTTTACCATCCGGCTCGGCCCGGTTGACAAGCTTTTTAGATTAAAACGGCTTAGAAATGATACGTCTTTATCTTGGTTGGCAGTTTTAATTTTCCCCTATAAAAGTCACTTGCTGCTAATGAATATATATATAGGGAGACTTCATTTTGTTACTGCTGTCGTATAAAAATAGGATAAACGAACCAGACGGTTTCTTTTTTAATTTATTTGATTCCGTAACGAACATTTAAAGGTACACAAAAATAAAATCGAGAATCAGAACTTTCTATAAAAAATCTTTATTCACATTAGCTTATAATTAATTTATTCGTTGAACAAAATAGCGTAGGTACCGAAGGCGATGGCAACATCAGCTTGGGCCCAGAATCTGTGGAATTCGAATTCAGGAATTTCACCACCTGCCATGATACCTTCAATCTTGCTCCATTGTGGGTCTTGTTTGAACCAGGAACGGATTTTTAGGAAGGTAGCAGAAGAGTCGATAACATCACCGTTCGGGTAGACACCAGTCCATCCAGGTGGTACGTAAACGGGTTCTTGGAAGCGTTTGTATTGGTCGGGTATTTCAGGAATGGTGATACCTTTGTCAGTAGAGTGAGAGTAGAGAGCATCTAATAAACCTTTAGCGGCAGCCTTGGCGGCAGCGTCACCTGTGGCGGCGGCATAGTAAGCAAGAGTCCTAGCAGTAGCTGAGGCAGTACCAATTTCGTGTGTGTAGGTGCCTACGTTAACGCGGATTTCTGGTGGAACACCTTGCCAGGTAAGATGGTCGGGCATTTGGAAATCTCCGTTTTCTAGTTTGACAACGGACAGTACCCAGGAAACCCATTTTTGTAAGATGGGGAGGGCAGCGCTGTCTTTGCTGACATAGTAGTATTGGGCAAGACGATCAGTAGACCAAGCTTGCATACCGTACCATCTGTTGGATGGTGGATCATGGTAGACTGGTTCCCAGTCGTAGAACATACCGTGGAAAGTGTCAGAAGTCAAATTGCTGGTAGGTGTATCGTACCGACCGTTCCAGGAGTTGGTGACACCACCGGCGAATGCACCTTCATCGGTTTGCAAGTACTTGTACAATTCCAATTGTCTCTGAAGTGAAGTAGCCCAGTCTTGTACAGCGGTAGCACCTTTGGGTTTCAATTCGTCTACTGTAGATAGAGCGTGGGCAGCCATTGGGTTTTGGTAACCGAAGTGAGCGGCACCATCTCCAATAATCCAGGCCCAATTGCCTGAGCCGGGCATAGCTCCTCCCCAGGCGTAGTACCAGTTGATGAGGTAATGAGCACTTTCTTTTCCGTAACCACCGCCGCAGTTGTATGGTCCCACACAATTACCAATCTGAGGAAAAAAAATAAATATTCACCTGATACTCATTGTATGGTCAACAACTGCTTACCTTCTTGAAGTATTTGTCAAACAAACTGTATCTCAAATAGTCGCCCATTTTGGCGGCCTTGGCCACCGTTTGGGAAATAGTGCTTTCTACACCCTTCTCTTTGGCCCATTGAATTGCCCAGTAGACGGCTTGAATAGCACGAGCGTCTGCGTCAGGAGCAGCAGTGTATTTCCATTGTCTGGTGTAGCTGTTGTCTCCGACGAACAAGTCCAGAAAACCGTTCTAAAAAAAAAGCATTCAATTATTTATATTTCTCTGGCATTAAGAAATTTCTGCTTGTAGATGACGCTGTAATGCAATTGTATTTTGATCATGAAATAATCGAATATGGTATTTGTTTTTCTTGAAAATTTTCATTGATTGAGGTAAATTTTCTTATTAATATTTTATTTTCACTAAAAATGTTGATTGAATCTTGAGTGCTACCTCCAGAAATTATTCGTTCTGGTACTAGCATAGAAACAAAGCAAGCCTATTTATTCCTACTATCTGATACAGGCGAAGAGTTATTATAAATATTACTCACTCTGCCTCCATATCTGAAGTTATCGCAAGTTGGTTGTGGAATGGTTCTCCAGACGGATTCCAAAGGTCCTCTTTGGAAAGTGTTGATTAGAGATGGTCCATTTTCGGTTGGTCCCTGTTCACATTGACCTTGCGCATCACCGAATCCATATTTGTTGTCGACATCCAAAAGCCAATGCATACTGTAGATAGAGTCAGTACCATATGCGTTTTTCAGTTCTTGGTAGATGGGATCTTGACCCACAGGTACCCCAGTTTGTATGGGAGAAGGATATCTGCTAGGGTCGTCAAGCTCATCAGCGTAAGTAGCTGGTTTACCCGGGTTGTAGCCTCCCAAAGTGGGTTGGAAAGTGGGAATGATGTAGGTTTCCAAATTATTCCAGGCATTGTTGAAGCTGGAAAAGTCTCCCGTAACATACCCGTTAATAGCTTCTAACCATACGTAATAGGAATAGGCTTCTGAAGTGGTTTCGTGACCATAGTCAGGGGCTTCAACCTAAGAAATTCGAAGTGATTTTTTTTTAAATTGTTAGCAATAATTGTTTAATACTTACGACCAAGGTTTCGATGGAGTGGTAGGGTACACCTTCTTTGGAGAAGTATCCATTAGCGGAATTATGAAGTTTTTGGTATTGTTCTTTAAAGCGGTCCATATAGGTTCCAGCTTGGATACCTGCCACTAGGGCCAGTAACAAAACTGTAGTTTTCATGTTGTATCCTTGAATGTTTGAAAAAAAAAATAATATAAAAAAATGCATTCAATATTCTTTTTCTAAAAATATTGTTACCTGTCGCCTTCGATGTAATCGTTAAGCAACCTGGTTGTAGCGGTAGTTCTTTTATGATTATATAGAAAAATGTAATCTTCGCAAGCTACTTGAAATTGTATTTTTCCATTTTTTTGAAAAACACTTCGCATAATCAATTTGTTTTTGAAGGCCAACGAAAAACACTTAAGTACTTATCGAGAAATGGATTAGGTAAAGCTGCTTTTACAAAATCGACTTCTCTGTTTACAGAGATGGAGATTTCTCTGGGCAAAGTTCAAGAATAACGTAACTAAATATGTTTATACATTATTATTGTGTGTGGAAATTGAGCCAGAGTGAAATGATAAACAAAATAGCTCATAAAATAATTTAAAAAAATCATTGATTGTCATACGAAACTTTATTAAATTTCGTCACAAGCATTTTTTTTGCCCAGACTATTGTCGGTCCAGGACCAGAACTACTAGAACCCAGAAGATGGCCAACGAAATATTACTGTACTGGAGTACTTCCTTATAGGGAAGCCAGCTAACTCTTCAGTAGAGTGGTCTCTCTAGTTATTATAGTCCCAATAATCAGTCATAGAGATCAGTATAAAAGGTACTGATTATTAATAAATAAAACTAACCTATAAACTAAATATACCTCTATTCATCCAGGAATTAGGCTATACTTTAAATTGCTGCCCATGAATAAGAGTCCACTGTTGATAATAAAAAGGGGCTTACCCAACAATTGTTCCTTCAAACTGCCAAAACTTACAACAGTACCTCGAGCATTACCTTCCAGAAGATAGAACGTAGAATGGTCTAGTATAGGGGAAGTCTATCCTGTAATTTGCCACTAATGGGTGTGGTATAGCTAGGCCTCGAAACCAGGACTGGGTTTGGGTACTTAGACGGTCATAAGCAAGCAGATGGAAGCAGTTATAGACAGAACAGATAGAGGCAGATAGAGGTAGATGGAAGCCATTAGAGACACGTGTTATCAGTTATAGGGACGTGTAAGCGGTTATGAGCACATGTGAGCAGTTATGAGCACATGTGAGCAGTTATGAGCAGGCCTAAAGAAAATCAAGTATAAGAAAGGATTTCTGATACAAATTATACAAGGGGTAAGTTAGGACAATAATTAATGTTAATAGTTACATTTTCTGAGTAAGGATGGTTTTAGGAAGGGAGCATAAAGAAACTAAGAAGACTGAGAAATCTTACCCTTGTTGTTGGATGGCCTTGGAGTGGAAAGTTAAATCGTAGCCGTACCAGTCAATTTTAACTTTAATTATGTTAAATCGGTATAAAGCCAGAACGGTTGCACAGCGTAAGAAAGGCAAAACGAAACTTAATTTAAAAATTAAAGTGAAAGCAGCCTACTTAATAAATCGGCAAGAAGAAAAATCAACCACCTGGTCAGGTGACTTCTTCTAAAAGAAAGAGGTTACGAATCCCCTCCAACACGAGTCCAGAATCCTGTCAATTAAGAGAATTATAACAACCTAAGTTGAATTACCCAAGACGTCATTGATATCTTTGTCAATATGGAACTGGTAGAACCAATGGTAGAACTCAATCTAAAGTAATGTAAACTTTCCTATTTAATTAAAACATCCAAACTATTTTTCCACCTTGTTTTATAGGATCCCAGCTCATCAGAACCAGAACTCCTGAAATAGCTGTCTAGCTCTCAAAAACAATAAATCAATTATTATCTTCTTTCAAAAATTAACCAGATGGTACCGACAATTTTAGGAAGCCACTGAATACATTCTTGGTAAAAGACAAAATCCATAAAAGCAGCATTTTACCTTTTTTTTTTTGTTCCTATACCTATTTGTTTATAAGAAGAAATCCTATTTTATTGTTGAAATTTAGCATTTAAAATTATTTGCTTGCGGCAACAGATGGAGCAACCGATGAGTTTTATGTTTTAAATGTACATGTATACAGGGTTATTGGTTATAAATGTCACCCCCCTCTACTTTTTTATTTGACATTTTAGAAAAAAGTGTCTTGAATAAAAAATTTATGGTTGAGATTAGATTTTTTGAAAAACTCCCCTTTGCATATATAGGGTGTTTCAAAAAAGCTGGTCGTGCTCCAACTTTCTTATTTTGAATTAAATACCCTGTATATCATTCAATATTCGGATTCTACGTCAAATTCTGAACAGATTTCATGTGATATACCCAATACCTAAGTTCAACTGTTTTGGAAATATTGACAGTTGAAAATTGAACTTTTTGCAAATTTGACAGGCTGTAAAACCTAAACGGTTAACTTTTGAGCAAAACCGATCTTACATTTTTTTCTAAGATTTTCACAAGTTATCATTTGATACCAACTTTGAATTTAACCGAAGATTAAATTTAATTGGAATTTTCAATCAGGGCTTAAATTCAAAGTTGATGTCAAATATTGGTGTCAACTGATAGTTTATTAAAATCTAAAATAAAAATGTAAGATCGGTTTTGCTCTAAAATTACTCTTTTAGGATTAACAGCCTGTCAAAGTTGCAAAAAAGTAAATTTTCAACTGTCAATATTTCCAAAACAGTTGAACTTAGGTATAGGGTATATCTGATGAAATCTGCTCAGAATTTGACGTAGAATCCGAATATTGAATAATATACAGGGTATTCAATTTAAAATAAAAAAGTTGGAGTGCGACCATCTTTTTTGAAACACCCTGTATATGCAAAAGTGAGTTTTTCAAAAAATTTAATTTCAACCATAAATTTTTTATTTGGGACACTTTTCTCTAAAATGTCAAATGGAAAAGATAGAGGGGGGTGACATTTATAACCAATAACCCTGTACATATTCACTTAAGCCTAGTACACAAAAATATATGCATAATATTGATCACGAATTAATTTACTATATTGAAATCAAGCCAATAATCAGATTGAAATGAACCCGTAACATGATCTAAAGTGTCAGGTATCGTTTGCCATGGTTCATTCAACATTTTTCCAGAGTAGCGGAATATGATTCATTTTACAAACCTGTAAATATTCCAATAATGGTTTTTCGAAAAGCTGATGCAGAGTAAAATAAATAGTTATTGATAGCTTGAAAATTTCATTATTCTGATGCTTCATAGAAAAACGTAAGATTTATAAACCCACCTGCTTGGCGCATAATGATATTAGTAGCTGGCATCGCGAACTCCCTTTTAGAAGAGCTGCGCTCCTTAAGCGAAAAGAAATTTCCCTCGGATATTCTTATCACACTTTATAGAGTGTTAAAACTTACCCAGGCCTGACAGAATGGCTTTCAACTTTATAGGAAATCCGGGAGTTGGGCATTGGAGAGGCCACTGTCGAAAGGAAACAGTTTTGGTGTAAATATTTTTTCTGCTTTGAGGATAATCTAATGTATATTCTGATATAATCACCTACAGACGCGGCAGCAAAGAACAAAAAATAAAAATTATTAAGATCTTTATTCACATTAGTTATTAATTAATCTATTCGTTGAACAAAATAGCGTAGGTACCAAAAGCAATGGCGACATCAGCTTGGGCCCAGAATCTGTGGAATTCAAATTCAGGAATCTCACCACCTGCCATGATACTTTCAATCTTGCTCCATTGTGGATCTTGCTTAAACCAAGAACGGATTCCTATGAAGGTTGCAGAAGAGTCGATGACATCACCGTATGGGTAGACACCGGTCCACCCAGGTGGTACGTAAACCGGTTCTTTGAAGCGTTTATATTGGTCGGGTACTTCAGGAATAGTGATTCCTTTATCAGAAGAGTGGGAGTAGAGAGCATCCAATAAACCTTTGGCGGCAGCCTTGGCGGCAGCCTTGGCGGCACTATCACCTGTGGCGGCGGCATAGTAAGCAAGAGTCCTAGCAGTAGCTGAGGCTGTACCAATTTCGTGTGTGTAGGTGCCGACGTTAACGCTGATTTCTGGTGGTACACCTTTCCAGGTGAGATGATCGGGCATTTGAAAATCTCCGTTTTCTAGTTTGACAACGGAAAGTACCCAAGAAACCCATTTTTGTAAGATAGGTAGGACAGTGCTGTCTTTGCTAACATAGTAGTATTGGGCAAGACGGTCAGTAGACCAAGCTTGCATACCGTACCATCTGTTGGATGGTGGGTCATGATAGACAGGTTCCCAATCGTAGAACATGCCGTGGAATGTGTCAGAAGTTAAATTGCTGGTAGGTGTATCGTAACGACCGTTCCAGGAGTTGGTGACACCACCGGCGAATGCACCCTCTTCGGTTTGCAAGTACTTGTACAATTCCAATTGCCTCTGGAGTGAAGTGGCCCAGTCTTGTACCGCGGTAGCACCTTTAGGTTTCAATTCGTCCACTGTAGATAGAGCGTAGGCAGTCATTGGGTTTTGGTAACCGAAGTGAGCGGCACTATCTCCAATGATCCAGGACCACCAGCCTGCATCTGGCATAGCTCCTCCCCAGGCGTAGTACCAGTTGATAAGGTAATGAGCGCTTTCTTTTCCATAACCACCACCGCAGTTGTATGGTCCCACACAGTTTCCGATCTAAGAAAAAAATTGAATATTAACCTAAAACTGAATGGATTTTTGGTAAGTGTTTACCTTCTTGAAGTATTTATCGAACATAGTGTATCTCAAATAGTCACCCATTTTGGAGGCTTTGGATACTGTTTGGGAAATAGTGTTCTCTACACCCTTCTCTTTAGCCCACTGGATAGCCCAGTATACGGCTTGAATGGCACGAGCGTCCGCGTCAGGAGCAGCAGTGTATTTCCATTGTCTGGTGTAACTGTTGTCGCCAACAAACAAGTCTAGGAAACCGTTCTGAAAAAAAAATTGATTTCTTTTGAAATGAAAAATTTCTGCTGATGAATGAGGCAGTTATGTGTTGAAGCTGAATCGATCAAATAGTCGTTTGCCTTGAAATCTTCTCTTTATTTGTTGAAGATGATTTTTCAGATTCAATTTTATTTCTCTAAAGATAGATAACACTTTCATAAAACAAAATGTAAATGACAATGTTCTGCTATTAAAAAAAGCATTGAAATTGAAAAATATGTATTACTTACTCTGCCTCCATATTTGAAGTTATCACAAGTTGGTTGCGGAATGGTTCTCCACACAGATTCCAAAGGTCCTCTTTGGAAAGTGTTGATCAGAGATGGTCCATTTTCGGACGGTCCCTGTTCGCATTGACCTTGCGCATCACCGAATCCATATTTGTTGTCGACATCCAAAAGCCAATGCATACTATAAATAGAGTCAGTACCATATGCGTTTTTCAGCTCTTGGTATATAGGATCTTGTCCCACAGGTACCCCAGTTTGTATGGGAGCAGGATATCTGCTGGGGTCGTCAAGCTCATCGGCGTACGTTGCTGGTTTACCTGGGTTGTAGGATCCCAAAGTGGGTTGGAAAGTAGGGATGATGTAGGTTTCCAAATTATTCCACGCATTGTTAAAGCTGGAAAAGTCACCAGTGACATAACCGTTAATGGCTTCCAACCATACGTAATAGGAGTAGGCTTCTGAGGTAGTTTCGTGACCATAGTCAGGGGCTTCAACCTAAAGTAAAATTGTCAAGTGTTATCTTCTTCTTTATGTAATGATTGTTTAATACTTACGACTAAAGTTTCGATGGAGTGGTATGGTACACCTTCTTTGGAGAAGTATCCATTAGCGGAATTGTGAATTTTTTGGTATTGTTCTTTAAAGCGGTCCAAATAGGTTCCAGCTTGGATACCTGCCACTAGGACCAGTAATAAAACTGTGGTTGCTTTCATGTTGTAACCTTATAACAAAAATGTAAACAAAATATTTGATGAATGTGAAAAAAAAAACTTATTAAATACCTCTCGCTTACGCTCCAGGTCTCTGCAACATCTGGCTGCAACAGCAGCTCTTATAGAAAAATGCAATCTATGCATGTCACTTGAAATTCGAACCCTGGTAATCTATAGTTTCTAACATTTTAATATTGATAACTATATCGGGTTCAACTACTTTTTTTTTTCTTCCAAAACACTTTCAATCTTATAATCAATCGGAATATGTTGGAGGCAAATAGTAAACAATATATTATTTGAAAAGTGGAAATGCTTTTTTGTTTATCCGAAATTATATAAATAAAAATAAACCCTATTCCCATAAGTAAATTGAAAAGCCATTGATTGAGGGTGTTATTGCGCCGCTTGCAATATGTCGCTACATAAATCAAAATTTCGCTAGATTAGCAAGTATACCTACCTATGATTTATTTTATAAACCCATAAATGAAAAATGTTCCAATGCATTTTCTTTTTTCAAAAATCTGCTGCAGTATGAAACAAATATTAATTAAAAGCCTAATTATGTTGATGCTCCATAAAAAAACCTAAAATTATAAATCCGACTACTTTGGTGCATGATGATATTCGTGAAAGCGGACGTGGCGAACTTCCATTCAGCAAAAATAAATTTCCCTCCAAATATTACACTCTATAGAATGTTGAAACTTACCCATGCGTTGCAGAGTGGCTTTCAACTTCATAGGAAATCCGGGAGCCGGGCGTCGAAAAGTCCCCTGTCATAAGGAGACGAGAGAGTTCATCGACATGTTTTCCATGGAATTTTTAATGAAGCTTATACTGATTTTGTGTAGGGTAAAAACATGATGTGTGTATTCTACTTGAGTTGATGACGTTATGTGAAATTAATAATTCAACAAATATTTCGGGAATCAATATGAGCGATGGTTCATGTGCAGGATTGTTACTTATAGAGAAAATCCTTATTCAATTTAACCATCGAATAATCGGAAATTGAAGGATTCACTTCCGGGCGGCTTTTAAAATCTACATGCTTCGCTGGAAATTTTATAAACTCTTTCCTCGACTTTATTGACATTAGATGGAAGTTCAACAGATAAAATGCTGGCGTATTTATAAATAAATTCACTGCTGTCGAAGAGATTCTGGATGAATCCTTATATACCCATAATGCTTCGATAAATTTACCGCAAACAAAAAGATTGATAGAAAAATCATTAATAAAATTAGAAAGATTGTAAAATCCTTCAATCCTTTATCAAACTGCATACTGTTTGACAAGCACGTGACGTAACCCTTAACACACGAGTGTTCCTATTAATGATGACAACAGCATCTACTTAAATTACCCCTAGTTCGCTCTCTTTATTTACAATAAATTCGACAATATAATATGCTTCCTTCACCAAATTGGATAGTTTGAGTTGGCAAAGAAAAGATGCAACAAAACAGAAAAATCCCAAGAAAATTTGCATGGATCGACCTCAAAATTACAATAGAAACGTCAGCAAACATAAATACAAACCCTTTAGAAAAGGGAAAGAATCCCCTGAGGTTGAAGGGACGATCCCTTTGTAAATATAACGAGAAGCACGTCACTCGGCTCAGAGATGTTTATTCAAGTATTCTTCTTCAGACGGAAATGTGGATTTGGATGGGACAATGGATTTTTAACTACAACTTGCGGCCAAAGAAAATTAAATATGATGATTATTGAAAGTTTTTATATATTTATTATACAACAACAGAAAACACAGAATTTAACCCGCTCTCCTCTATAGAAATTAAAACAAAGAAGAAGTGAACTGTGTTTAGGATTTTGGGACAGAGCCTCAAAAATGTAATTAACACAAAGCGGGCTGCCGCAAAGGGTACAAAGAATCTATCGATCGAGCCCTCATATGTTTCGTTTCTTTGATCCCCTGTAAAAATTACAAAATTGATTTTGCTTTTAACTTCAGGTAGGTATATTTCAGAAGCTTTATAGGAATGTACCTATTGACTTTAATCCATCAATCTTTGTCATATTAAATTCTAATCAAGGTTAAAATATATTGTGTTGAAGATTTCACGTTTCCAATTTCCGGAACAATATTAGGTTTTCTCGTTATACAGAAATTCGTTGCCAATCTAAATTTTAATAAGTGGATATAGTTCAGGATTGCGACCATAGTTATAATTGAAATTTGTGCTAAGCTGAATCACTTGCAAGGGATTGTGTCGCTTTTATGAATAGCAATTTTCAATTACGAATAAAATAAAATGTCTGTCACATTGTTTTTTTTTTTCTGAACTGTTTTTCAAAGTTAGTTCGATTGATTGGAAGTACCTACTGATACTAATAGACAAAAATTGTTCAAAAATAAAAAACTCAAAATGGTTCTCGATATCAAAATTCAAAGTAGGTACCTACCTACCTATGCGATCAATTTTATGTTTGTTTAGTTTTATTATAAGTTGAATAAGTCTTCCTTGATAACTATGGAAGCAGTTATTTTTTCCGCATATCAGAATCATCTAATAAAAAAAGTTCAGTAATCCTTATTTTAATTTTTATATATTATATTTTTGCAGTTCAATTAGTAAGTTAATAAACATGCGTTACAATAGGAATAAAATATTACAATGGTATTTTGGTGCACTTGAAAAAACATTGTTTGTTTTAGGTATCTATTTAATTTTATTTTCAAATACATTATCTACGCTTATCACCTCATTTTTAACAATAATTTCAAATAGAAATAGTATCGCAGGCTTTCAATTATTTTTCAAAGGACCCCGCAGGCCCGCACACCTCTTACGGGTATTTGGTCTTCTGTCAAACTCAATGAAATTTTGATATACCTATGTTAGACCTTGACTTCCTGTTAAAAAGTTCTCATGGGCCCGAACCAATCTTATGACTAGTTTTTGAGATACAGGTAGTTTAATGTCCAAGAAATGTATAGTATTTTTAATACCCATTTAGAATAACCCTATCCCTCTTTATCAATCACGAATCAGATGAAACAAAAAATTACCAACCAAAACGAATGTCTATTGCTAATACGTCAAATTCATGTACACATAGGAAATTCCTAACCTAATTTTATTTGCCTGTTCAAGAAGCGACATACGTTTAGTCACTAGAATGACTGGTACTTCTAAATAGGTATTAAAAATTCTATACAATAAGAATCATTGCAATTGACACACATAAACATCCCCCGTGATGTGTCAAAATTTTACTTTAGTAACACACAGGTAATGTGAATATCGTGTCAGATTGATGAATCAGTGGTGAACAAAATAGTTTTAATCTGGTTTCAATAAACTGTTGAAGGAAAAAAATATTTCTACACCGCTGCACTGAATAGATTAATTGGTTAGAATTTTCACTTAATAAGAGGGATGTAGAAGAGTATAGTATGTGCCAATTGCAATGATTCCAACTGTACTAGGTGTTTTTTTATATATTGACACCCCACCTACAGCCTTTACCTTTTAGGCAGATGAAAGGTGTAAATACAAAAGTTGTACAGTATTGGCAAAATTTTTAGAATCTATGGTCAGAAATATGAAATGATGCATGCTTTCAGCTTTTTCCAGATGGGATGCCCTATATTTGGTTCTATATTCTTGAAGAGCACAATTTCCTGATTCCAAAACTATATAGTGTGTCTATATTTGGTTGAGCCGTCTCCAACATATTTAGTTCTAAAAATTTTAAAAATACTATCAGAGAAACCAAGTAGCTACATTAAATTTTACCTGCAGCATTCACCTGTAAAGGTAGAATGGTTCACAAAATCAGCTCAATCTCTGCTCAATCAAATATAAACAAACTATATATTTTTGAAATCAGGGCATTGTGCTCTTTAAGAATATAGAATAAAATATAGGGCATCCATTTGAAAAAAGTTGAAAGCATGCAAAATTTCACATTTTTGATATTTACATTTTGTTTCTGACCATGGTTTCTAAAAATTCAACCCAAACTGTACAACTTTTATATTTACACCTTTCTTCTACCAGTAAAGGTAAAGGCTGTAGGTGGGGTGTTAATATATAAAAAAACACCCTGTACAAATAAGTGGATTATTGAGGAGCTTATGGGTGGACCTCTGCGGGACGAGCACAGCCAGTTCCGCAGCCATCTACTTACCAATATGCTGTTGAACTGTTCAACTAAGATATTCATCTGAATATAGTTTTTGAACTAATGAGAAAAACTCACAACTGAGAGAATCAAGTTAATATTGTACTTGAACAACATATTGGTGAATAGATGGCTGCGGAACTCGCTACGCTCGTCCCGCAGAGTTCCACCCATAAGTTCCGCAACAATCTACTCGTTTGTACTTGAATAACTTGTCACATTATGTTACTAGTTTGGTAAAGTAACATTACTAATTCCTGATGGAAGGCAAATTGACAAAAAGTGAATAATTTTACAAATTTTGACTTTATATAATAAGTTATTGTTCAAGTACAAATAAGTGGATTATTGCGGAACTTATGGGTGGACCTCTGCGGGACGAACGCAGCGAGTTCCGCAGCCATCTATTTACCAATATACTGTTGAACTATACAAATAAGACACTCACCTGAAACGTTTAGTTTTTGAACTAATGAGAATAACTGACATTTGAGTGAGTCGGGTAATATCGTACTTGAACAACATGTTGGTCAATAGATGGCTGCGAAACTCGCTGCGCTTGTCCCGCAGAGGTCCACCCATAAGTTCCGCAACAATCCACTCGTTTGTACTTGAATAACTTGTTACATTATGTTACTAGTTTGGTAAAGTAGGTAACATTACTAATTCCTGTTAAAAGGCAAATTGACAAAAAGTGGATAATCTTACAAATTCTGACTTTACATAATAAGTAATTATTCAAGTACAGGGTATTTTCTTATATATTGACACCCCATTTACAGCCTTTACCTTTATAGATAGATGAAAGGAGTAAATACCAGTGTTGTTCCTTTACACGTAAACTATTAGTTGTTTACATTTACATGTAAACAATTTGTCAAAAATGTAAAAAATGTGAACAATAGGTAAACAATGTCAACAATGCGTAAACAATGTAGACAATGTAGAC